AGTCCACCGGCCTGGAGTACTTGCGGTAAGTCACTAGCACCCCCCCCCCCCCGTCGACAATTTACTTGCGGTATTTACTTGCGGTACCGCGGTGGGCCGGCGGAACCGAAGTGGGCCGGTCGAGAGTCCCGGGCTGATTTCACTTTGAAAAAAAGGATAATGATATTCGCTCTTCTTTTTCTGACTCACCTTTACTCACCGCTGGGTCACCAGACCTTCCTTCCACCAACACACTAACCTCCTTTTCCCCTCTCTCTCCAAGTGAGGTTCTTACCCTCATTACCTCTGCCCGCCCTACCACCTGTCTCTGGACCCTATCCCTTCAAACCTCCTTCAGACTATCGCTCCTGATATTCTACCGTTTCTCACCCATTTCATCAACACTTCTCTAACTTCTGGTCACTTTCCAAACAGTCTCAAGGAGGCAAGAGTAAACCCTCTCCTAAAGAAACCCACTCTCAACCCGTCTGATGTTATAAACTACAGGCCTGTCTCTCTCCTCCCGTTCCTGTCTAAATCACTTGAACGCGCTGTCTTTAAACAACTCTCCTGTTATCTCAATCAGAACAACCTTCTGGATCCGCACCAGTCTGGTTTCAAGGCAGGTCACTCCACAGAAACTGCTCTCATTGCTGTCACGGAGGAACTGCACACTGCCAAAACTGCATCCCTCTCCTCTGTTATCATCCTGTTGGACCTGTCTGCTGCATTCGACACGGTGAATCATCAGATCCTCCTTCGCACTCTCCAAAAACTTGGAGTTTCAGGCTCTGCACTTTCCCTCCTCACCTCATACCTGAAAGACCGTACCTACAGGGTGACTTGGAGAGGGTCTGAGTCCGACCCTTGTCAATTAACTACGGGGGTCCCTCAGGGCTCTGTTCTTGGTCCCCTCCTCTTCTCCCTGTACACAAACTCGCTCGGATCAGTCATTAGCCCGCATGGTTTTTCTTACCACTGCTACGCTGACGACACCCAATTAATTCTGTCCTTTCCCCGCTCAGAGACCCAGGTCGTTGCACGCATCTCTGCTTGTCTAGCTGACATCTCTCAGTGGATGTCTGCTCACCACCTCAAGCTCAACCTTGACAAGACTGAGCTGCTCTTCCTCCCGGGAAAAGATTGTCCAACTCTTGACCTGACAATCAACATCGGCACCTCAGTTGTTTCCCCGACTCAGACTGCAAGGAATCTGGGTGTGACCCTAGATAACAACCTGTCCTTCACTGCAAACATCGCTGCTACAACCCGTTGCTGCAGATACACGCTTTACAACATCAGGAAGATACGTCCCCAGCTGACTCAGAAAGCGACTCAGGTTCTGGTCCAGGCTCTCGTCATCTCACGCCTAGACTACTGCAACTCCCTCCTGGCTGGTCTACCTGCATGTGCCATCCGACCTCTGCAGCTCATCCAGAATGCAGCGGCTCGTCTGGTCTTCAACCTTCCTAAATTCTCCCACACCACTCCGCTCCTCCGCTCCCTTCATTGGCTTCCGGTAACTGCTAGAATCCACTTCAAGACACTGGTACTTGCTTACCATGCTGCGAATGGATCTGGCCCTTCCTACATCCAGGACATGGTTAAACCGTACACCCCAGCGCGTGCACTACGCTCTGCATCAGCCAAACGACTCGTTGCGCCCTCGCTGCGAGGGGGACCCAAGTTCCCATCGGCGAAAACACGTGGGTTTGCTGTCCTGGCTCCAAGATGGTGGAATGAGCTCCCCATTGACATCAGGACGGCAGATAGCTTGCACATCTTCCGGCGCAAACTGAAAACTCATCTCTTTCGACTCCACTTCGAGCGTTAGAACTATTAACGAAGCACTTTTATACTAATAAAGGGCTGGCTTACCTAAAGCCAGTTGAGTAGCACTTGAAATGTTTGGCTCTATGAAACCTGATGTACTTATATGATTCTGTTTTCTTCAAGGTTGTGTCTTCCTGGTCGAATGTACTTATTGTAAGTCGCTTTGGATAAAAGCGTCAGCTAAATGCAATGTAATGTAATGTAATGTAATTTGTAGTCCCAGTCCGCCCCTGCTCCTGTCTGTTTCATTACCGCGCCATTTAATTAAAGTACCCATTTGAACCTTCTCAGAGACTCCATTGGTCTCCTTATTTTAAGTTTCTCTCCTGGATGCGAGGACAAGGAATATCCTAATAACCGATTCAAGGCACCTGCCAGAAAGGCCAGATTGTCTTTAGTATTGAATGTTTGGCTCATCAGTGTAGTTGGAATGAACTTTGAAATATTTCTATTTGAGTTTCTCTCAGGATGGAAGTTTTCATAAACATGAACAAGAACAAACCAAATGTTATCAGCATATTCAGGGAAGAGCCACATCCTCATGAAGGACCAGACCATATAAGGCCAGAAGGTTTCAGGATGTTTGTTTCTATGGTGACACAGTGAGTACAGTCTGGAGTTAATGATGTGCCGGGTCTGCTGAAGGATGCTGTAGCAGATAATAAGTGGGGCTGGACCTCCTTTATAAACATGAATCCCCCAAAGACCCCCGCCCAACAGCTATCAGCTGCAACTCTCTTATCTGCCCCCTTTGAGCCTGCTCCTATCCCTCCATCAGCCCTCCCCGAGACCCCATCATCTCCATCCTGTACACGCGGCACGGCTGTCCTCTTTCTGTCTTCAACACAAATCAATGTATGTCTTTCTTTCTTTTTGTTTTTTATTATTATTCTATAATAAGTTCTAAAAACATAATGACACACAAAACCACATTCCATAGAATCAATAAATAATAAACATCAAGCCAACAGGGAAATACAAAATACATCTGGGCACACAACATCTACAATACATTTAAAATAACAGAATAAAATGGTAAACTGTGGAAACAAGTGAGAAATTAACTGACTAAAAACTGAATTTATTAACTATTCTAGTATTTCCATACAGTGCTAGTACAGAGTGGGGGTCTGTGGACTTGAACCGGCAACACTCCGGTTCCTAAGTCTCAGAGGACTGAGCTTCTGCTCCCAGTCCGTGAGTTACCCTAATTTCTTTAATAGAAACAAATATTTACTTCCTGGGAAGTTACTTGTCGACGAAACTTCATAAAGCACATCTTGGAAATTGAAACATGATAAAAAACCTGGCATTGCTGTTTCTTTCATGTGTTCTTTTGAAAAGCTTGCTGTCTGCTTGTCGCTCCACACTAACTTCATCCTGCAGTTTAACAATATACCTGATTCTTCATCTGTTCATCATTATGCGTAACATTACGGTTAACGATATGTTCACAAACTCTTAATAATTATAATAATAGATTCATTTTCTTAGCGCTTTTACAGGTGCTCTAAGTTGCTTTACAGAGATAGTGAAAATAAAAGAACAATAAATAAATATATAGTTAAAGTCAATTAAAATCAAGAAATACAATCCCACATTAAAAGCCAGACTGAAGAGGTGAGTTTTTGTAAGTTGTTTGAAGGTAGTGAGGTCAGTGCAGTCTCTGATGGGTTGTGGGAGTGAGTTCTTCTTAGTTTTCAATTTCCTCTATATTCCTGCTGCTGCAGTATTTCTGACCTTAGAACATTTTAATTATCCAGAATTTTTAATATTGTTTATATTAGATATACTATTTTTCATTTTCATTATATTGTTAACTCTATTCCACCTTTTAAGTATTTGTATTTTAATGTTGAAAACACTGGTCCTGTAACACAAACATTTCCTAAATGGGGATGAATAAAGTATCTGTCTCTCTATGGTCAGCGCTCACAGAACAGACACACCAGCAGCTCCACACTGCGATGTAAACCACCACTGCTAGACAGGCAGTGGTGGAAAAAGTACTCAGATACTCTAGTAAAAGTACTAATACCACATTTAAGCATACTTCATTACACGTTTTTTAAGTAAAAGTACATCTAAATGTACTCAAGTAACAAAGTTGTCACGATCTTAGTTTTATGTCACGATTTTAGTTTTGTCTGTCTTGTCATGGGTTTTATTTTTTTAAATAAAGCTCGCCTTTTTTTCCTTGACCTTTTTTTGTCTTTTTTATTCTGCATTTGGGTCCTACCTTTTCCACGAATCCTGACAAAAGTAGAAATACTAATTTTGCAGAATGGCTCTTTAAAAGTGTTGAAGGTATTTTCTAATGTTTTTATCGTTAGAAAATGTACGTTGTTTTTAATGTTGTTATTTGTCAATATGGAGCACATTTGAGATAGTACTGAAAAAAATAGCAGTACATATACATAATATAACCACAACCATGTAAAAAGTACAAGTGTCAAATAAAAGTAGTGGAGTAAAAGTACAATATTTACCTCTGAATTGTAGTGGAGTAGAAACTACAAAGTAGCAGAAAATAGAAATACTCAAGTGAAGTACAAGTATTAGTACCCAACATTGTACTTCACTTGAGTACCTCTATGTTCTGCTACTTTGGACTTTGAGTAAATGTACTTAGTTAAAAGGCCACCACTGCAGTCAGGGCACACTCAAAATGCTTTGAAGCTAATCTTTGGAGGTCCATAATGTTGCTTTAAGACAGAAAAATAATGAAGTTATACTTTGATGCAGAGACGGCAGGGAGTCTCTGTCTGATTTGTGAGATGAACAGACTCTCAGTTTAGTTAGGGAAGAATCCTGAAGCAAGCCACATGATTGAGATTTGAGTTGCTCTAAACAGACTGACTGAAGAACCAAATGATGGTCAGCCAAATCTGACAATAGACATGAAGTTAACAACTTTTATTTTATAAATAAAAACAATATTCATTTATCATTCACCTTTTCCTGACCCCTAGAGCTCTGTTGAGAACTGTTTCAACATCTGTGTCTCTTTATCTCTCTCTCATTAACCCCCCCCCCCCCTCTGGTTGTTTCTGGGTGTTTGTTGTTAGTTTCCTGTCACAGAGGAAGTGCCTCGCCCTGCTGCCTGGCTCCCAATTGGCCCCAGATGAACAGAGATTGTTGTGGGGCCGAGCATGAGGAGGGGTCGAACAGCTCAGAGGATAGAAAGAGGAGAGGAGGAGAGCAGGAGCAGAGGACGGAGGACGGAGCAGAGACATCATCACAGAGAGACATGTGAGCGGGACATGCTGGAGGAGGTGAGTTTACATCGCAGTGTGGAGCTGCTTATATCTCATGTTTCCTTTTGTGTTTATATTGTGTTTGTATTTAATTGGCAGAGGTGGGAGAAGTACTCAGATGTTGTACTTGAGTAAAAGTAGAAGTACTCAGATCTTGTAGTAAAAGTAGAAGTACCAGAGTGAAGGAATACTCTGTTACAGTAAAAGTCCTGCATTCAAAATGTTCCTCAAGTGAAAGTAGAAAAGTATTCTCATCAAAATATAGTGAAAGTAGCGACAGTAAAAGTAGTCGTTGTGCAGATTGGTCCATTTCAGAATAATATATATGATATGTTTTATAATGATTGATCATGAAAGTGTTCTCAAAGCTGGTAAAGGTGCAGCTAGTTTGAATGACTTTGTATACTGCAGGGTAGCTTGTGGATTTACTCCAGGTGGAACTAAAGTCTGATTCAACGCTTGGTTATATTTCACATCATTCATCCACATCTGTGAAGTAACTAAAGGTATTAAATACATTTAACCAATTGTGAGTTCCTAATATCTAAGAGGTTTTTTGAATGTCAGCGTCCTCTGTTCTGAGCGTAGTGCATGGATGCATCTGTATTACTCTACTATTTCTGTCTCTGCCAAAGAGCTGATGATTTGGTTATTGATTCAGTTTGTTTGTTACATTGCATTTAGCTGATGCTTTTATCCAAAGTGACGTACAATTGTTTGTTTGTTTTTCTGTCAGCAGGGCAATAGAACACTACAGAATCTTACCTGATTTGACCTGATTTGAATGAAAGCTGGTGACTACAACAGAACCAGGATCCCCACTGAAGTCTGGACTGATGTGAATCACAGGGTTGACCACATGATTTCCCCCTTTGGATAACATCACAGGAGGGCATGGTGGGGGGGGGGTTTCCAGGTGCTTTTCTAGTCTTTCTAGTTTTTCCAAAACAAGATATGTGCCATTAGAGAAACCAGCTGTTTCCAGACTGCTGCCTCTCTTGGTCTGGTCACTCCCAATCCTTGTACCAGTGTCTGATTTCTCACTGACGCTGGACAGGTTTGGGGGGGGCTGTGCTAAGGACTGCTGTACTCCATTATCTCCTGCTGACTTTTCCTTCTCCTCTCATTGGTTTTTGGACTTTTGTGATTACTTATGTGCATCTCAATTAAAACGTAGAAACCTTTGAACTTCCTGTACTTTCTTTTTGCTCTGCCATGTGTTTTGTCTGTATGTGCATTTCGTGACTAGAGCAAGTGCAATGGTAATATGAGGACTGTTATCACAAACAGATTTAATGTAAATAGTTTGGATTATATTTGAATGTAAACCAATTAAGCCACTAAGACGTTCATTTTAAAATGCGATGATTTCCCTGGGTCACACTGTCAGAACTGTTAAAGCTCAGTTTTCAAGGTTTATGTTATGTACTGTCCAAATCATTTTAATGTATGAAAACAGATACTTTAAGTACATCTTAAATTAAATGTACTAATAAAAACAAGCAAGCCCATTTTCAGGATGTTAAGGTTCATTTGGTTATTAACAGTCCTCCCTGTACCCACTGACAGGCTGTTATGGTTTACACATACATGAGCAATATAACTTAATTTAGCTTTTTATATTTAGTGTGGCACTTGCTCCATCCTGGGACTTGAACCTGCTACCCTCTGGTGCCAAATCCAATGAGACTGAGCGGCTGCTCGGATTCCAGGCTGATTTAAAGGGCCCATGTCATGGTTTTCCGGTTATTACCCATCCCCTTGTGTGTTATCAAATCAAATCAGGTTATATTTATATAGTACATTTTTAAAACGGTTTTTGGTCGAGCCAAAGTGCTGTACATATAATAATTACCTTACAGTAAGGACACTATACAGCAAATACAACAGCACAATTTGTGCAGAATATCAGTATGAGAAAACGACACCCTCTATCCTTTGACCCTCACATCGTACAAGGAAAAACTTCCAGAGAAAACCCACAGTTTAAAGGGAAAAATGGGAGAAACCTCAGGGAGAGCAACAGAGGAGGGATCCCTCTCCCAGGACGGACAGACGTGCAATAGATGCCGTGTGTACATTTAAAATATAATACATTTTACAGCGTAGGTAGACCGAATGTTTGGAAGTGCATGTGTTATGAAGGTTTTTCTGCATGTAAACGGTCTGTAGAGTCACTGACCCTCAAAGTACACCCTGTAGGGAGTAAAACTCTAACACAGAGAAGACCTGTCTATGCTGCCCCAAAATGCCTCGTTGGAGATTTCTCTTTTTCCATTGTTTACTTCCTGGGTACTGTGACGTGGGGATACCCAGAGGCCGCACCCTCTGCCAGCATTTCACGAAACAAAGCTTCCCAAACCTTTCAGCAATGCATGCCGGATATGTACAGCGTAGGGCACTGAAGAACGATGCTGTTCCTTTGTTTGGACCAGCGGGAGATTCGGGTACACAACCTGTAAGTATTCATTGTTGTTTGTGTATTTATGAGGTTTAAAACAAACAAGGTATCTATCATAGGGATGGGAATTTGAAAGCAAATGTATATTCGAATATTCGACCCCCCAAAAAACGGTTAACCGGTTAACCGAAATGTAGATATCCTATAATAATTTTTTTTTTTTTAAATAACTTTTGGAAATAAATAAATACATGTTCAAATAAGTATAGAAACCAAGTCGAATTTGTCACATCACCCCAGAATTTGACTGTCACAGCCTTAAGCAGTGTGCGTATAAATAAATACCCGTCAATAATCGGGGGGGATCCCCATCTCCCGTTTATTGCGCAATATACCGGTCGAAGATTTCTCAATATGCAGTAGGCCTATACAATATTGGATGCAATCCAAGACAATCAGTAGTAGCAGCGTTTCTCAACCGGGGCGCTGTCAAATAATTATATATTCTAACGTTCTATATTCTAACCGTTAAAGAGCCATCTGTTTTCGATTCTATGCGAGGAAATGGGAGCAGAGCTGGTCTCAGACACACACACACACACACACACACACACACACACACACCTACACACACACACACACACACACACACACACACACACACACACACACATACACACAAACAAACACACACACACACACACACACACACACACACACACACACACACACACACACACACCAACTTCAATGCCAAGGCTAATTATGCTATTCTTCTTAACTCCGGAATCCACACAGGACATACGCACACGCTCATCTTATGCACAGCAAAGATCGAAAAAATAGTCTTTTACCTTAAGCGAGAATAGACCAAAGATGCCTTGGCTCGACTTCTTCTCGTTGCCGTCCTGGTTTCCAAGAAGAAGAGAGACGATGTCCTGCTTTAATCCAGCTTTTCACGAACGGCACTGGGTCGAATTTGCCCAAAGGGGGTCCGTTTAGGTCCACAAACAGAAGTGAAGACAGGCTCTCCTCGCGCAACCTCTGGTTGTCGGTGTTATTCACGGCGGAAATGTCTCTTTCGCACTCAGCAGACGTGGGGAGGTAGGTGCGACTTGCTATGCATAGCCGTTCCAGTGTTTTGCCCGGTGGAGTGCCCTACAATTTCCAGTCTCTGCCCCACGGCCTCCGTGGCTGGTTCTCCGAGCGATTTAGCCAGACGGTGTATTTCTTGTTCGCCATACAAAGTGAAGTCTTCCTGCTCTCCTGGCCAAAAGCGTTTATCATGAGCTTTGAGCGTCTGGACCAAGCTTGACTCCGGTAAGCGCTTGGTTAGAGTAGCAACCACCGATTAATAAACACAAGGCTTGTTTATTTTCCCCCTGCCTTCTGCCAGCTCTACGTCCTTAAAAAAGCCCGATGAGACGCCCTGTTCAGCCTTCTTCGTTGATCTCCCCCTGGTTGTCTTCATGGCGGTCAAAACATTGATGGTTTGTTTGATGTGGACACTTGAGTCCACGAGTGTGATTTCTCTTCTCTGCAACTTGAGAGACAGGCTCTGGAGTTCACGCAGGATGTCTTTCATGACAGCCAAATCTTCCACGAATCCTGAGTTGGTTAGGTGCTTGAGAAGTCCCTTGTATTTTTGCCTCTCAAGATCATTACGTGATGCATTCTCACTGGATGTTTTAAAATGGAGTGCTAGAGCGGGGAAATCTTTCCATACTGCTTTTACTGTTTTAAAGCTGCTGGCGACCCATCTGATGGTGAACATTTGACCTATTTTCAGTATTTCCATGTTGAGCTCGGCCGCTGCTTCTTTCAGCAATCTGGAATTCCTGGTTGACTGATTGTAGAGTGAGTATAAATGTGAAATAAATATCTCAAACTGATTAGTGCCACTTAACTTCTTTAAGAGCATTTTAACTGACAGTTCTAGTCTGTGCGCCAGGCAGTGTACAGACTGCACGTTCAGAAAATTGTTTTTGTGTCTGACGACAAGCCTATTGGCTTTTCCCGTGAGCACTGCAGCCCCATCGGTGGCTATGCTTATTAGGTGCGTCTCCAAAAAGTCATCATCCATTCCAGTTGTATATAGACTCGCCATCATCGAGTTATAAATTGATTCATCATCGACCCCATCTGTAAGTTCCACTATATCCAGGAAAACATTATCTACATCCCGCTTACCACTGACATCACATCTTACGTAAATGATTAGATAGGGACGACCGTGAACGGTACTTTCATCAATTGTGATTGATACCTTTGAATCCATTTATTTCACATTAGAGACGAACTTTGATCCATTCTTCCGCGAGGTGTAAACCTGGTCCCTTTTCTGAGAGTAGCAACGTTTTTGCTTTCCTACACACTAAGCATCCTAACTTTCCAGCCTTAATGTCAAGCCAAGGGTTGCGGTCTTTCCATTCGCCCACCTGCTTCGTTGTCCAACCAGCCGGCGGGAAGTCACTAGCAGCAGTAGCAGCTACCTCCGCAACTGCTGCGTCTTCTGAGCGCTCTGCCTCAACTTCACCTCCTCCTGGGGATTGACTGGGCGGGACAGGAGCCCCCGACTCGCTAACGGTTCTGGTAGCGAGTGCTAGCTGCTGCATCATCAGCATCATCTCTGGGTGTCTCTTGGTCATCTCGTGGTGTCACTTTTTTTTCACAAAGTGCGCGAGTGAAACACTTTGGTTTAGCTTTCTCGTTGACATTTTAGTCCTCTCTAATGTAACGTCTTTCTCTCCTCTTTGCCGCGCGTGGCTAATTTGCATAATTTGTGTCCGCGTCACGCAGCGTACCCGCGTCACGTGGCTGGCTCTGCTTTTGACAGCCAAAATAGAAGATATTTGTGTATAAACGTTTTGAATTATAAATACTGGACATAGTAAGCTTAAAAACATTTTAGTGACCATTGCAAGTGACAAATAAATATTATAATTTCAGACCCCCCCCAAAGTGTTGCTGTTGAGGCTTTCAGGGGGGCTCAGGTGTTAATCGGGGGGGTCGAGCTCCCGCGGCCGAACCCCCCCGTATTTCGCACACTGGCCTTAAGTCTTCTTGAGTATGATGCTACACTCTTGGCACACCTATCTTTGGGCAGTTTCTCCCATTCTTCTTTGCAGATTGTCTCAAGCTCCATCAGCTTGGATGGGGAGCGTCGGTGCACAGCCATTTTAAGATCTCTCCAGAGATATTCAATCCGGTTCAAGTCTGGGCTCTAGCTGGGCCACTCAAGGACACTCACAGACTTGTCCCGAAGCCACTCCTTTGTTATCTTGGCTGTGTGCTTAGGGTCGTTGTCCTGTTGAAGGGGGAACCTTTACCCCAGTCTGAGGTCCAGAGCGCTCTGGAGCACGTTTTCATCAAGGGTCTCCCTGTACATTGCTGCATTCATCTTTCCGATGATCCTGAAAAACATCCCCACAGCATGAAGCTGCCACCACCATGCATCACTGTAGGGATGGTATTGGTGACGTTGTTGTTATTAGGTACTGCGCATGCATGCAATGGATATATCCAGTGCTAAAGCACCACCTCTGGCGGTCATCCGGGACTCATAGAACCGTAGTTACAGCCGTAACTATCGTTTATCATGGTCTGAGAGTCCTCTAGGTCAGGGGTGCCCAATACCTCGATCTCAAAGGTAGATCGCATGGCATTTTAAAGTTAGCCTATCATCCATCCTTACTATGGCATTTGCCACTTGATTGACGTACAGGTAAGCCAGTCTGAATTGTATTGTGCCATACGGGTTCATGCAGTTATGAGGGGGCCTCACCTC